CCAGCAACAACTGTGGTCACATTTAGGTACATTTGAAGACGAGTCGGGCTCAGATGTTGCTCATAAAGATGTACAAACAGTTGTGGAAACAGCAGTGACATCTATCGATGATTTAAACCAAAGGGTTACAAAAAAATCCAATGGATTTCTTCTAAGTCTGACGGTTTCTCGTAAACTCTGACTGACTGCAACACTTAACATTTTTATTTTTATCTCATGGGTGAATGTTGTGTACAGGAATATACTTTTCATCGAGAATTTCGCTTCAACCTATCAGATTAATGCATTCATTCTTTATATATGCCGATTTGAGATTCGCACAGTGCTTTATTCAATGGTAACAAACGTGGATAGTCTTAGATGTAAATAGGAAGTCCCAAGGGCGCTAACAGACAATAAAATGTAAAGTGTTCATGATGAAGAACGTAACTCCAGTCCTAATTATAACTGCTCATACTGGTTTATATACATATTTTTACTTTGGAAAGTGAATAAAGTTTCACTGAGTAACTTCAGTGCTGCTAAAATATCATTCATAAATTATAGTCTGGCTACTGAAGCATAAAAAATGTGAAATTTTCAACCACGACAACAAATTTCTAAATAAAATGTTGTAATGAGACTGACTTGAAAATGAGTTACAATAGGAAACAGCATTAATATCACTTCATTTACCTCGCCTAACAAAGTATATGGCATCGTGAAAACTTGATCAAGGAGAGTGAAGACGAATGAAATTAGGTCATATACTGTAAGTAAGAGGACAAACTACCTCCTATGTGAATTAAGGATACTAACGATTAAGGCAATAAATTAGGTATTGGGCTTCAGAATTAAGTAGCCGTCTAGTAAAAGTCTTAATTCTGACGTACACAAAAGCAAGGTTTAGAATGTGTAGTGACTCAGACCTAGGACTGAAATAAGATAAAATTATAAGTAACAGCAAATCGCAACGTATACATAAAAGACAGAGAATGTACTCTAATATGTACGTATAATGAATAGCGAGAAGTGCAGATAATCAATGAAAAATATTACTTGGCGTACGTTTCGAACAATCTAAGCGTATAGAGTTAGATTGTTCAAAAAATTTTCTTTTTTATACTTGACGTCAGTAGGACGAATAAACGTTCAACAAAAATTTAAGGTTACACAAGTCTAAAATATACAAACCAAAATGTTACTCTTCATTCAACCGCCACGGTCAGTAGAATGAAACCGAGAATGGCGTAAATAGATGTAAATTTGATAAGTTATTACATACTTCAATGACAAGCAACATATACGCACAATCGATGCACGCAAAGATGTATAATGAGTACAGATTCCATTACGTATACAACACAAAAGCCAGGAGAAGTATAGTATTTTATCAAGATTATCAAAATGTGTTAACAATCACGTCACTTTACCCATTAATAGGGCATATGAAAGTCAAAAACTACACAACACAGGGTGATAGTTAATGAAAAAGAATTCACATCAAGCAAACTTACAACAAACTTACTACTTACTTACTCCTGTTACTCTTCGTGAAGGAGCATAAACCGCTCACCAGCATTCTCCATCCAACCCTGTCCTGGGCAATCCTTTCTAGCTCCTTCCAGTTGTAATTCATCGTTTTCATATCTGCTTCTATTATCCGACGCAATGTGTCCTTTGGCCTTCCTCTTTTTCGCTTCCCTTCAGGATTCCAAGTTAGGGCTTGCCTCGTGATGCAGATTGACGATTTGCGTAATGTATGTCCTATCCATTTCCATCGTCTTTTCCTAATTTCTTCTTCAGCTGGAAGTTGGTTTGTTCTCTCCCACAGAAGGCTATTGCTGATGGTATCCGGCCAATGGATGTTGAGTATCTTGCGTAGACAGCTATTTATAAATACTTGTACTTTCTTGATTGTGGTTGTTGTAGTTCTCAAAGTTTCAGCTCCATACAGTAGAACTGCCTTGACGTTCGTATTGAAGATTCTCACTTTGATATTGGTTGAAAGTTGTTTTGAGTTCCATATGTTCTTCAACTGAAGGAATGCGACCCTTGCTTTGCCGATCCTCGCCTTTACGTCTGCATCTGAACCTCCTTGTTCATCGATGATGCTTCCCAGGTATGTGAAGGACTCTACATCTTCCAGAGTTTCGCCATCAAGAGTGATTGGATTGCTGTTGTCCGCTTTGAATTTGAGGACCTTGGTTTTCCCTTTGTGTATACTGAGGCCTACTGATGCAGAGACTGCTGCTACACTGGCTGTCTTCATCTGCATCTGTTCGTGTGTACGTGATAGGAGGGCTAGGTCATCTGCGAAGTCCAAATCGCCTAATTGGTTCTGAGCTGTCCATTGTATTCCATGTTTTCCCTCAGATGTCGAGGTCTTCATAATCCAGTCGACCACGAGAAGAAAGAGGAAGGGAGAGAGTAAACAGCCTTGTCTGACTCCGGTCCTTACTTGGAATGCATCTGTCAGCTGTCCTCCATGCACTACTTTGCACTGTAGTCCGTCGTATGAGTTCCGGATAATATTGACAATCTTCTCAGGAACTCCGTAGTGTCGAAGAAGTTTCCATAATGTCCTCCAATCTACACTGTCGAATGCCTTTTCATAATCAATGAAGTTGATGTATAGTGATGAGTTCCACTCAACTGATTGTTCGACGATGATCCGTAGTGTTGCAATTTGGTCTGTGCACGACCGATCCTTACGGAATCCAGCTTGTTGATCTCGAAGTTGGGTGTCTACTGCATCCTTCATCCGGTTCAGCAACACTCTGTTGAAGACTTTCCCTGGTATTGACAGTAGTGTAATGCCTCTGTAGTTTTCACATTTGCTCAGATCTCCTTTCTTTGGAATCTTGACGAGGTGTCCTTCTTTCCAGTCCATCGGCACTTGTTCCTCCTCCCAAATCTTTTTGAATAGAAGATAAAGCATGCTTGTGGTTGCTTCGATGTCTGATTTCAGTGCTTCAGCTGGTATGTTGTCGGGTCCTGCTGCTTTCCCGTTCTTGATTTGTCTGACGGCCATTCTGATTTCTTCCGTAGTTGGTGGATTGACATCTATGGGAAGATCTATGTGTGCTGCTTCGATGTCCGGTGGGTTCATTGGAGCCGGTTTATTCAGGAGTTCCTCGAAGTATTCTACCCATCTGTTACGCTGTTGTTGAATTTCGGTGATTGGCTTGCCTTCTTTGTCTTTGACCGGCCTCTCTGGTTTACTGTATTTCCCTGATAGTTTCTTCGTTGTATCGTAAAGCTGTTTCATATTTCCTTCTCTAGCAGCTTTTTCTGCCGTCGTTGCTAGTTCTTCCACGTATTTCTTCTTGTCGGCTCTAATGCTCCTCTTCACTTGTTTGTTTGCTTCTATGTATTCAGCTTGTGCTTGGACTTTCTCTGCTCGTGTTCGGCTGTTGTTAATTGCTGTCTTCTTGTTCTTCCTTTCTTTGATCTTGTTCAGTGTTTCTGTAGAGATCCATTCCTTATGATGGTATTTCTTTAGACCGAGAACCTCTTGACACGTTGAAGTTAATGCTTCCTTGATGCCTTTCCAGTTGTCCTCCATAGTAGTTTCTTCTTCTTTCAGTAGATCTTGTAAGGCTTGGAACCTGTTGTTGAGAGCTATCTTGAATTCATTGAGTTTGTCAGTATCTCGAAGGACGGCTGTATTGAACCTTTGTATTGCTGTTTGTCCACTTGTCCAGTTCTTTTTTAGCTTCAGTTTCAAATTGGCTACAACTAGGTGGTGATCTGAAGCTACGTCAGCACCTCTCCTGGTTCTCACATCTTCCATTGTCCTTCGGAATTTTTTGTTGATGCAAATATGATCTATTTGGTTCTCTGTAGTGTGGTCCGGTGAGATCCATGTAGCCTTGTGTATACGCTTGTGTGGAAATATTGTGCCTCCTATGACCAATTTGTTGAATGCACATAGATTTGCAAATCTTTCTCCATTTTCGTTTCTTTCTCCCAGTCCATGTCGTCCCATAATATCTTCATATCCAGTGTTGTCTATTCCGACTTTGGCATTTAGATCTCCCATCAGAATAGTTAGGTCCTTCCTTGGGCATTTCTCAATGATTGACTGCAGCCGCTCGTAGAACTGATCTTTAATGTCGTCGTTGCTATCATTGGTGGGTGCATAACATTGGATAATATTCATTAAGATCCCCTCCTTCTTTGTTTTGAATGATGCTTTGATGATTCTGGATCCGTGAGATTCCCATCCTACAAGTGCATTTCGTGCTACTTTGGACAGCATAAGAGCGACTCCCTGAGTGTGTGGAGCATTGTCCTCTTCGTGACCGGAGTATAGCAGCATCTCTCCCGTAGCTAGCCTTTTCTGTCCAGCTTGGGTCCAGTGGGTTTCGCTGATTCCCAGTACTGCTAAGTTGTATCTCCTCATTTCCATTGCTATTTGACTGGTCTTCCCGGTTTCCCACATTGTTCGAACGTTCCATGTACCTATAAAATTTTTTTGCTCTGGTTGTTAGAAGGGGCATCGGCCTCGTGGCTTCCGAAGGAACTCGGCTTTCACCATGAAACGTCATAATTCTTCTAAATGAAGACCTTCTAACTCCCAGGGCAGAGTTAAAATGGTTTGAATTATTTTTTCTGGTTAGCGTTTTTTTAGCGAGTTAGTTTTCTACGGGATGGGGACGCTAACCCCAACTCTCATCCCTATAGACACCATGATGTGAGCTTCTCCTTTTCCTGAACTTTCTAAAAGTGTGGATTTTGTTCATAGTCCAACATATTCACAGGACCATTTGGAACTGGACAATATGTCAAAAGTACGGGATGACACTCAAACAGATATTACTAAAAATAGATTTACTCAAAACGGATAATGAATGAGTTAGTTTACTTCAAAGCGTCTAGCGTTTCTTTAGAAAACTTTGAGACTTCAGCCCAAAGGAACTATTTGACGTACTTGAGCTCGTCACGAGTTTATTGATTTTTCACTATTGGACATAACCAGTTTGTTTTTGTTTACGCGGTATTTTGTTCTTCGGAACATGATGTCGAGTGGAGTCAGATATTCTGAAAGGAATGATCCTAATTGTTCAAATACATTTAACCAAAAAATACCAGAATGCGAACCACTTCCAGATTACCATTTTTTCTGTCAACTTGCTCATGGAAGCCCTACCGGAATTATACATGGTTTTAAAACAGTCCGCCAGCTCCACACGAAAATATCGGAGTGTTTTGATATAAATCCATCTCAGGTAGAGTTGAATTATTTCAACTGTATATGTTTCCGTTTATGATTGCTTTTTGTCGTTTTTAAATGGTTATAAGCTGCTTTCCTTCTCGATATGTATGGTTTCATCATACAAATGCCTTAGAATATCCCTTTTCCGATTATTCAAGCATATTTAATAATAATACGTCAAATGATGTATCTTGTAACTATCACATGAGAGACCGTGTCATATTTTCATGCGAATGTGAAGTGATAGCATGAATTTGAATGTAGCCGATGTTAATACCTTTTTGGAAACGACATGCAAGTATGTTTTAAGGTGGGTAAATGCGCACGAAAAAGAAGCATTTGTGTTTTGATCGATAAACGCTGTTTTTTTTCTCACCCTGTCTTTCATCTTCGACTAGTCATGAATAACAACAGTTGTGAAGTATTTGGCTTGATAACGTCTGTATTCAAATAGACGAAGACGATTGAAATAATGAGGCCAGCTAGAGGTTATAAGATATTGAAGTTATGCAAAGATACAAACTTTTTGTAATCATATTCTCATCACCTTCATATTTGACTACTTTTGCGTCACTTATACACATTGTCACTGAAATGTAAACTTGTTTCTTATGCCGAATCATACATTTTTGCCATAAGTCTGTTGACTTACAAGAATTTCATTGTTTTTGAGACGTTTGTCACTAAAAATCTTGCTATATCTTGTTAAGATTGTAATTTTAGCTTCAAGAATAACTTAATGAAATTTATGTTTATTGGTTCAATGAGATAATTTTTTTCTCCACGAAAACCCAACATTCTTTTACGTGTTAGCTATTTTAATCGTTATCATCCTAAAGTTGTGGCTTGGGTGTGATAATCTTGTATTTCTGGTGTGAATGAATGTAGCTGTTGTGTCAGGAAAAGCTCTCAGAAAAAAAGTACTCTGATCCACTCTTGCTAATATTATCCTTTAAAAATAAAGCTCATTTGTAGGTTACCTGTGAGTGATCATGGACTGTTTCGAAGCATTTCTTTATGTTGGGACCGCCTAATGAGCAATATTAATGTCGAATGGTTGATACTGGGTAGCAAATCCACATTCTTAACCACCACTATCAATCCATAGAGTTAGTACTCGGTAAACTCAGCCATTTTATTAAATACAGACTGCCACATTACGATCCGAGTGATTATCGTGTAGATCACCAACGTAGATGATCTATGTCGAAATGATTGGAGGCCTACTCGAGTTAGACGTGAATAGTGTGACGAACCAACTAACGTCGAAGTCACACCTCGTGGTCAGCACCTTACGTGGACTACCCCCATTGACGTAACAAGGTACTATAGATGCTTTGAAGACTGTACAACACAAAGGACGTTATTACAGAAATATATTAGTTAAAGTAGATACAAGCGAAAGTAAGACCACTGCCGCATGGGCCAGTCCATGGCATACCATTAACTAATGCGCGTTTTTTGTACATGACCTTGGGAGGGAGCGACGATCTGTTCGACATTCAGTAATCCAACTGCCGGATGATTTGGCTAGGGCTCAGTGACATTTCACTGGCCCTACAATCGCAATGGACGGTTTGAAACTTGGGGTGAAATGGGCCAAAATCGTTTGCAACTTCATAAATGCATTCACTGTTCTCTCCCTTTGATCGCAAATTTATTTACTGCTATGTGGTAAATATTTTGAATTTTTATTCAAACCCAACAATACCTTCTGCCTCGCTATGATGGTTGGGTTTTTTAAATAGTGACTACGCAGCAAGGGTATGTTTACTGAAACACTTATCGCCCAAATTCCTTCCCCACCAGGGAGATCAACTGGATGGTAGTGAGAAAGCAAACTGTAGATGTAAGGTTCAGGGGTGAAGCATTGTTATCGCATGTTCGTAGATTTCGCAGTAGTAGGGTGTTTTTCACAAATGAACATCATCAACAATACCTCCTCCTCACAATACAAGGTGTGTTAAATCACTATTTGTGTTTTTATTGAAAGAGTTTCACCTAAAGGTTTTACTTTATATCGCCCGTCTTTTAGTTAAGTAATTTCACAGTCGCTTAGTTTGTGAACGAACAGTTTCTGTGACAATTTAACATTTTTCTAATAGACTGAATCAAGCACCATATATTTGACTTGCTTTCTAATAAAATACATTTTCTAAATAAGATTTCCATGACATCATCTCAAATCTCTGGTTGGTACCATGTTACAAGTTCTTTCAATCCTAAATCTAGTTCAGTATTTAGTTATGTTTGTGATGACATAAAAATGAGTAGCATATTTATATTATCTTGGTCCAGTTTTGTCGTGTTCTATCAAACCATTCTTTATAGCTTTACAAGATATATTCTTGAACATCATGATGGCTTCTCTCGTCATTGTATTAATGCAAACCAACTCATTTAGTCGGTGATTGAGCCAAGAAATTCAATATGAGTAGAAGTGATCTGTCCAAGCAAGCATATTGCAGGCATAAGATGTAACTTTCACCTACCTCAAACCCTTCTTATTCTCTTTTGATACAACATTGATTATTGCTTTTAAGCAATGACACACTGATGATATGTTTGTAAAAAAATTAGATATTAGTAGGATTCAATAATAATGTTGAGGTTTAAATTTAGTAATTTCCTGTTTAACTATAATATGTTTGAATATGATTTGCACTGAATTAGTAAACATTTTTCTTCAACAACGACTTTTATCCTCAAAAAAGACCAGCTTTTGGCGACCGTGAAGTTTGTTTAGATCTATATTCTCTTGGTTGTTTCTTAGAGGCTGTTGTCAAAAGGGATATTTTAACGATATTTTATGAGATGCAACAATATATTAAATAGTAGGCGATTCCCTTCTGTTTCAACCCATACATATTCTATATTTCCTTGATAAAGCTTGGATCAGATTGCCAGGAGAAACGTTAGATTTGCTTAAAATTCTTTCGCTGAGATTTTGCAAATAAATTCTTCCTCTTTAATATTGAGATAACGTTTTTCTTTTGTGACGTGATTTAGATTATTATTTGATTTTGCATGATTCATACCATGATGGCAGATTAATTTTATTACCTGTCAATATCATAGACGATGAATGTGTGTGACTGAAGTTTCTTCGATGCCTTTTCTTATTTCTAGATATTATTAGCGTAATTATATATATTAATTATATAAATTAAATATATATAGCTCATCTCCACGTTTTGTGTGAGAAGAACAGGTTGGATGGAAATTAGACCTTGAAATGAAGACCTAAGCAAAAGACATCCTCCTATTTATATGAACACATGAATATTGGTACAAGGAGGCACCAAATACAGATGCACCAAACAAGTCATTTGATTTGTGTGTGGACTGTGATATTGTCCAGATGCCCAAACCGATGCAGGTGATTTTCTTAGGGGGCCACGCCTAGAGCTTTTAAACTAAAGGTCTGATCCACAAGGCAGTGGAGCAACGTCAGGAGATGTAGTCTCATGGTAGCTGGTCATCAACAATAGGTTTACACACCATTTGTTCCCTTAGGATCCTGGAGCCCATATGCACCACTGGTTGTGATGGTTGTTGTATACGCGTGATCATGTGAGAGCATTTGGAAAGGGAAAGCGGACTCTCATCACCTTTGGCCGTACCAGGACATCTGGGGGCATCTACTCGCTAGATGAATGAAAATATATCGCACAAGTATTACACATTGAGAAGTAGATGTACTACAAATTTATTATCATGCAACCTATCCTATTATAAGCCAATTGTCTATTTTGTTGATGTACTTATACATACAGCCCTCATTCTATCAACATATTGCTCATCCATCCAGCCCAGAGAACAAAACTCCATCGATATACAACTCTCGCCTATTTTAATGGGCAATGATTGTTTACTCAGAAGTAGGTCGGCCAAAATCTATATGCAACCAAACCAAGATATGGAATTAGTTCATGTGATCATTTACTTTTGATTTGATCTACATTGACAGAAGCAAATCATCTTGTTAAAATCCATATAATAACTGAAATCAGTGACTGGAGACATTTTTTTAAACATTGATTAGAATCGTTCACAATAGTGTGAATTTATTTACACTTCATCTACTCTTGAACATAGAGTTCTAATATTCCATTAAAAAAACAGTTTACATATTACATTTCTGAAACAGAATATTAATGATGGATCATTTTCATGATCGTTTCCACTTAATTATATCGATCTGTTTATAATTCATTTGCTCGTTATTTTCATCTTTCGTTGTTATTGTGATAGAACCACTTGGTTATAAAATAATCTATATACATATATATAAACAGAGTGACCTAGAACAAAGGTTGCATGTACAAAATGGATACCATGTGATGTCGGTAAGAATGGAACACTTGTAACAAAAGCAAACAATTATAGTTTATTATTGTCACATGAGTGTGTAAACTGTCATCTATACAGTTTCCTGTCTCGTACAATTTGTAAACCTACAAGTTAAGTCAATGTTCAAGAAATGCCGTCAATGAAACTATGATGACCAACTCTTTGGTGATGTACTTCAAAGTATTTCAAAAGTTTCAATGCTTAATTGAGATTAGATATGTTGAGAGTGAAGAAAAACATTTTTTAACGAGGGGGATTAGAAGGTTGTTACCTTGTAAACTAAATGAAGTTGAAACTGCACAACCGGATGTCGACTGATTGGTTGTAATATTAAGGCGTTCTTTGTGGAATCAGAAAGTCCAAGGTTTGATCCCCGGCTGGGTTGTCAGTTTAAGCTGCTAGAAATCTCAAAACTGACATGAAGAAAACATTTACTGCATAGTATCAAATGATAATGGTTGCAATATATCATAAACCTGCTGAACTTTAAAATATAAACTAGTAGATACCAATGGAATAGTTTTAGAGTTAAGCTCTTTCCACGAGACCCAAGGACCCTGTCGTAAACCACCGGTAAATCGGCCAGCCAGCCAGTCAGCTACATCGTAGGATCAGGCACATGTACGCATCAGTCTAAGTTGCCACACAAAATCAACACAACAAGATGAACATCAATTTCATAGAAGGGGTTAATTCAATGAAAGTAATGTATTAAAGAAAGATTGTGTGTAATAAAGGAAGAAGAAATTAGAAAAAAAGGTGTAAATCAATATTAATCTCACGATTTACATGAAGACAAAGAGTGTATACATCTACACCATCATGATCGATTCTGAGCAATGTCACTCAGTCTCCAACCATTGGTTACGATAGTCACACGGACCGCTACCAAGTAGTGTGCATCTAGCAACATGACTCAGATTAGAAGATAGTAACTTCATTTTGACTGATGCGACTTGTTTGTTTGGCCTCCGTTAACTTTTTTTCCAACCATCTCCAACACCAGATAGCATTGTGTGTCGTGGTAATCGGTGTTCAGGCATACATAATACATGACTCAATCATCTTAGTCGATGAAGATTTACAAACGATGATTGTCCATAACTAAATAATCAATATTATTGATAGATTAGCTGTCCAATGCTTCCTTGTTGTTAACTTCATTCCATTTTATAATCATCTATATACATTTTCATTCTGTTTAAAATTCAATATGAATCATTCATTATAATTTCAGTATACATATAAGTAATAAATTAAAATAAAGAAAAAGTTTTTGGTTTATAATTTTTTTTTTCATTTTAATGAATAAATTATGTAAATTAATAGTGAATTTATGAAATCAGTAATAACAAAAGTTCCATTGATAAGAAAGATCTTTTTTTTCATCTCTATATAGTTTAAGAAGAAAAAAACTCAATGAATCAATGGCTGTCATAGTGATCTAATTAGTTTAAGATTCAATTCTAATCAACTGATGAGTTGTACAATGAAACGAAATAATCATTCTCAATTTCATGATAACCTATTCATATACATGTATTAATAGAATTGAATTCAATTTCTAATTATAATTCTATAATGTAGATACAATAAGATTCATGATTTCATTTAAAAACTTAATAATCTTCACAACTCCTATATTGGTAATTAACTTGTGCTCACTAGTGACTAGCTTAGTGAGGAAATTCTCGGAGTTCTGTTGAAAAGCCGTGACCAATGAAACCAGTCCGTGTCGTACCTCAGTACGATAGGAGATGGTAGTGCAATTTTGTGGATTGGTTGATGTTAGACACTAACACTATTGTATGCCGGCTCAGTGGTCCAGTAGGTTAAGTATTCGCGCGCGAGACTGAAGGCCCTGGGTTCGAATCCCGCGAACAGGATCGTGAATGCTCACTGTTGAGGAATCCCACAATAGGAAGTAACGGCCGTTCAGTGCTTCCAGGTTTCCAACGGTGATCTAACATCAACTGGTTCATGATCCCAATCAAAAACAAAAAGAAAAGTTATCACCTAATTAGGCAAGATAAAGATCAAGTGTAAAATTTGAAAAACTAACAATCAATTGAATTAACCTAAACGTTGTTTCTCATGTTCAACTCTGTCTATGAGTACTGAGATGAATTGAAAATAGGTAATGTATTGAACAAAGAATACGAATAGGGAATAATCGAATGTATTTGAAAACGAAATTATAGAATATCTCATTAAAATCTGAGAACAATACAGTAACTACTTAATTTGCAAAATATCAATCGATCGTCTCAGATTTCATTGTCCCTGCATTTTAACACTAATTGCTTTTCATTCTCGTTCATTCCTTCTCGATCTTCTACTGAAATAAATTATATTCCTGACTATCGTTATATACTACTTATGTGGATATAAGTTACTGACATCACAGGTAGAGACGCAATGTTGAGGAGTATCCTACCGGGATGAAACGACCAATCATTACTTTCAGATTTTCAATGGCGGTTCAGTTTATTATTTAAACTATCAAGATTCCACAGTTTCCATAAACTTCTTTGTGTTAACATGTCTTATTTTTGAATGGAAATAAAATTTAGGCATCAAGAAAAGAAACCGGTATGCCAATAATAACTAATTCATTCATTCATGAAACTATCTATTACGTGGATCACGACATACCCTTATGAAAGCTTTCCTTATTCTATACATCTTAATATTTTACCGTGTGTACCTTTCTTTCAGTGAGGTTAGACGCAGGGTATTAGGGAATGCTGGCGAATCAGTTGATAGTGTTGTGAATAATCATCGACTGAGATGGTTGGGTCGCGTGTTGCTCATGCCTGAACACCGATTACCACGACACACAATGCTATCTGGTGTTGGAGATGGTTGGAAGAAAGTTAACGGAGACCAAACCAAAAAGTCCCATCAGTAAAAATGAAGTTACTATCTTCTAATCTGAGTCATGTTGCTAGATGCACACTACTTGGTAGCGGTCCGTGTGACTATCGTAACCAATGGTTGGAGACTGAGTTACATTGCTCAGAATCGATCATGATGGTGTAGATGTATACACTCTTTGTCTTCATGTAAATCGTGAGATTAATATTGCTTTACACCGTTTTTTCTAATTTCTTCTTCCTTTATTACACACAATCTTTCTTTAATACATTACTTTCATTGAATTAACTCCTTCTATGAAATTGATGTTCATCTTGTTGTGCTAATTTTGTATGGCAACTTGGACCGATGCATATATGTGCCTGATCCTAGGTTGTAGTCGACTGACTGACTTCTTTCAGCGATTTTATTCTTAGGTATTTGGTAAGTTATCATCTAACAGGTCTGGTTTTTGTATTAAACAAACATTATCAATTCAACATGATTTTACTTTAATTTGAAATGGAGGAATTCTGAGAAACTCTGTGGTGAAGTTTAAATAAACTTGGATTGTAGCAATATAATAAAATCCAGACATTATATTTCTTCCTGTTCAGGACTCACTAATTAAACTGTGGTGTATGCTACTTATGCTGACAGATATAAGTAGTATGTAGCATTAGTTGGAAGTAGAATGCCTTTCAACAGAAGATTGGATTAAAGAGGACAGGAAAGGAAGTAAAGAGCAATTGTGATAACAAAAGGATTGAAAGAATAATGAGGCATGTACAGCAAAATTGAAAGATGATGTGTAAATCATGTGTTCAATGTATAGTTTTCGTATTTTATCAAAGTAACCTGTACAAAACAATGAGTTGGTTTTCTCTGCCAACCGCATTCTCGTTCACTACAACATATTTAGTCGACATAAAAGATTACAATACAAGAGATAATCGAAATTTATTAAGACGTATAACGAAAGGTATTATCATAGTGGTTCTTACATGATTCACCTATCCTAACAGAGAATAATCGAATACATTCCTTAATATCAGCAATGTATAACTTCGGTTGAGTATTGTGAAAATGAATAATCAACAACTCAAACTGATCCTCAACCAGTTACATTTTGTTGTAACCAGTGACTTTCTTATTAAATAGATCAATTCATTTGTCTACTGATAGATTACTTATTTAATTATATGATGTAAAGTTGTAAGGAATATGCTTCCAACTAAACAGGTCACAGATTCAAAAATCTATTTCATCTTCTTTACTTTCAGTAACCGGGTTATACCACCAACTCCTATACATAAACGGTATGATTTTAAGCATAAACTCAAGGTAACTGAGTTACATTTCAATACAGACAATAATGTAAATTTTAATTAACCACACCAATATGACCTATGTATTCATTGTTCCCTTCCCCCCCCCATTTCTTTATCTCTTCTTTTTTCTATTCTTATTATTTTAGATTATGTATTGTACACGTAATACACATAAATTAGATATGGATAAATTATTAAGTTATGAAATTGGTTTAAATGATTTTTTATTTGCACATATTAAAGGACAACCAAAAGAGATTAAAATACGTAAAACAAGTGAATCATTTGGTTTAACATTAACAGATAATGGTTGTGGTGTAGTGATTATAAAACGTATTAAACCTGGAGGTTTTATGGATAAAGTATCTAAAACATGTCATGATTTAATACAACCTGGTGATCAAATTGAAAAAATTGATGATATTTCATTTAATGGTCGACGTCATTATCATGTAGCATCTTATTTACAAAGTATTCCTATCACAAATGTATTTTGTCTACGATTAATTTCACCAGAACGTTGTCCTATGTGTAAGTCTATTCTATCATGTATTGTTTTGCCAAATTTCTTTTTTTAATTCTATCCCATTTATAAAATAAAATTTAAGTAATCTCTTAATGAAATATGACAATGCATTTCATTGACGAAGTATTACTCAGAAGATAGATACACAGGCATCATCAACTTAGAGCTTCCCACAGATGTACCTTAGTCCAAGTTGTCATACCTCATTCATTTGAAAAGACATGGGGTTAAAGGTATGCACGAAAGTATAATGGAAAAAGAACAAATGTTACTGTAACATTATGGACCATTTTGAGTGAACTATTGATTAGGATAGTTTAATGGGCCACAATCAAGTAGTGTATATTTACCAGCATCGTCTAGTTCAACAGTTGATAATTTTACGGATTAGTATCGTCTTCGTTTAATATTCCCAACGTTCTTCTAACCTATTACGCTTGTCATGATAAGTAGTGGTTAAGCATACATAGTAGACGTTTCAACGAATTCATAAAATAAAGATTCACATCTTTACCTAGTATCATGTGTTTAATTTAAACATTGTCTACTCGATCGTTCCACATGATGCAAGCAATGTTTCAAAGACACCTTCATTCAAAAACATACAATCTAACCATATTTTCTAATTTCGTAGACTATATTTCATAGGTAAAACTTAGAACATAACAGATTGAAGGTAGACACTGGTAATTTAGTGTATGAGGATAGCTTGTGAAATTTCCTCAGTACACAGCTACTTCTCATTATGAACTTAAAAAAATGTAAAGCTTTTATCTTCGAAAGCCATTCCATTTTAATATGAGCGTTTTGTGGAAATGGTTGGGTTTTGTTTTTTACATTATAGACTTACCGTAAAAAGCTGGAAAGCAATGAAAAAACTATTCGCTTCAGTATAAGACTCATAAATAGTGTGCGGCTACTAACCGTTGAAGATCGAACACAGGGCTTCGTAGCGTGGAGTTTGTGGATTTGACCTACAGTGACAGGGTCGTAGATGTGCGCTTCTAAGTAGTTCTATATGAAACTGAGACGAACGTCGGTTGCTTCCAAGTTTCCAACGGTTGTCTAATTATTCAATACTATGATCGTGATCTTCTCAAAATAAACTCCAGATAAATACCTAATTATCTGAGTATAATTTGTCAATACAGATAATCATTCGATATACTTAAGGTTAGAATTCGACGAATAAATAATACCACAAATCAAGTAACCTAACTTAACTAATAGAATTCATTCATTTCCATGGTACTAGACAAACATAACACTGATTATTACTTATTGATCAGTCACTTGTAAAAAAACTATTTTCTGTAAGTCAGTTTATAGATTATGTAAATAATGGAAATATCTAAATCCTGGATGTATGTTGCTTGTAAATATGTAATATAATTATGATGTATTGTGACTTACCTATTCAGTACAAATTTCTGTATTTAATTTTAAGCTATATGATCTATTTGAAGTCTTATTGTATTTTTATCGGATGATCACTCGAATCGAAATAGACTCTGTCAAGTTCAAATATGCAGATTTATCATTTGAAGTCTTTTGTATAATATCTAATCAAAATATCGTTCAAACTTCTGAAGTAAATTCGTTAAATGACTTTTCAGTCGTTTTAGGAGGAATTATAGGAATTGAAGAGAAAGGCTGACTATGAATACAATGGTCTTGAGTCGTCTTAGAGGTATGAGGGTGGTTATCACTTCCCGGTTGCCCATACCGTGGAAGGGTTCTTCTGAAGGTACCTGAAAACGGGATTGGATTAAAAGTAGTCTTACTTACTTACTTACTTACGCCTGTTACTCCTCGTGAAGTGATTTGATATCGTGACTGTAGTGCTTAAAATCAGTCATGCACGACCATTCTGTGGGTAGTTTTAGTGTTAGCTTCGTACTTGTTGAGACCTTACCACCGGAGACGGATATCCGTGGAATAAGGCAAGTTGAGCATTTCTAGGGTGGACTTTTTCTAACCCCACCCATCCTTGTGGGAAGGCAGCATCGCTGTTATGCTGGTTGTCTGAAGGAAACAACTTACTGCCGTCACATCACTGTACAGTTAGCAGTGAAACTTCGTCCTCAGACCTTGGGTTTGCTGCTTTCAGTCTGTGTGTTCTTCAACCGACCTGTCTGGCATGGTAGAACCTTACGAAACGATTGTTCCAGCCAGTGTTGCTCGATTGGTTCATCACAATATGTAAGCTCGACCAACACGTCAGGGTAGCAACAACGGTTGGGAAATGTAACTTTTAATTTCACGAGATTATTTAAAAAGTCTCAACACTCTCTTTCTTCAAATTAAATCTCAATTATGATAAGTTTCCAGTGATATTTTCTTCAAAATGAAATTTTTTAAGCCTTATTTGCAAGTGAAAATGTTTTCAATTTTAGAAGTAATTTATACAACAAAGGAATATCAACCATGATCAAACTTAAGGAATATTGAATGAATGGTTTGTTTTTAATTCTAAAGAAATCAAAGACACGAAACTTTTAATTTCTATGATTAACTAAATATGTTACCATTGATATCAGTCAAGAAACGTAAGACAGTACTATGGGGATGTAAATCAATAAAACTGGTAGCGGAAGAGTTGATATCGATTCCTATTAATGACAGAAAGATGATTATCACATCCTGGCTCTCTTCATTGTGGAAGAATGCTTGTTCTTGAGTTACAGCAGAAGGAAACTCCATGAGGGATGGTCTTGACGACCTGAGAGAAACAGTATAACGCACAATAGACATTTGTTTAGGACTAGTCACAAATTGCATTTTTGGATAGTTTCAGTATACCCTTTTAAACTATCATACGAAGGATTGTGATTTGTTTAATCATCACTTGTTTTGTTTCACTTATATCTAAGTTATGTTCATATTGTAATCTTCTCACTGTATTGCTATATGGTCAGATATCTCAAACATGAATTTTGTGTCATAATGGAAATAAACACAATAGAGCACTTATCCGTTTTCTATCTTCATCTTCTGGTTAGTTACTGTGTTAGAAGTAGCTGAAGCACAAATAAACGTCAAGCTCTTGTGACTGTTGTTCATTGGTCTGTTTGTAGATTGGTAAATAGGTCACCGGTATTATTGGAAGAATTAATGAACTAGTCGATAATTGGGCTAGTGGGAGGTCAAACAACTGCTTTTTCATCATTACGGATTGATAACACGTAGCCGAAAATAACTCAAGCAATCAATATTTTTTCCAAAAATATTTATAACCAGTGATGACTTAGCGTGTTCGATCCACATTAGTTTTGTTTTCTAGTTAATACAATTTTCCATAACCAAATATCTTTACATAGTAATTCCTTCTAAATAAACTTAGACCTACTGTGACATACAATGTTCAAGGTTCAGAAACATTGTAATTAAACTAATTTCTAAATAATCAAAAATGGATAGTGGGTAGCAGTGCGATCCAGTACACGCGTTTCGTCCTATTTGGGACTCGTCATCTGGATGTACCTGCATCCCAGAGTTAATGATCACTCTAGAACGCGTACCCAGTAACGTTCGCTTCAAGCGCTATTGGGTTATCCACTTAGCTACTGAGTCCCGATAGTCACCTGCTAGTGCCATGGGGTGAAGTTTTAAATTCACTCAATGTTGCTTACTTGTATCTTCATATTGTTATTTAGGACTGAAATTGATTAGTCTCTCTCTTATTGGCATAAGTGCATCCTATGCGGACTGTACTGCGAACGTTAGTGGGTTCGATTCCCAGATTGAAAATCAATTCTGAGATACAGGTACATCCAGATGACGAGTCCCAGATAAGAAGAAACATGAGTCCTAAATTTCACTGATAGCCACTGTCCATCTTTACTTATAAAGCTTGTGAATTAAGGCAATATCGAAACAGTCCGCACAAGATGTACATATGCCAATAAGAGAATGATCAATTGCAGTCCCAAATAACAATGGAAAGATTCAAACAAACAATACCATGTGAATTAAAACTTCACCTCATTATACAAGCAAGTGACCATGGTGACTCAGTATGTAAGTACATAACGTGATGGCATTTGAAGCGAACGGTACTAGGTGCGAGTTCCAGATTGAACATCAACTCGGATGCAAGTACATCCAGATGACGAGTCCCAAATAGGTCGAAACGCGTGTCTTGGATTCCACTGCTATCCACTATCCACCTTTGCTTATAAAGCTTGTAACTTAAGGCAATGTCGAGAAAGTAATGTTTCATATAAACCTGTCTTGTTTTCCGTTATTCATCAATGAGTTATTACACTTCTATATATATATTCACACATTATATCAACATCAACAACAATAACCACAACCACCACCACCACAACAACAACAATAAAATCTTTTTATACAAGTAAAACGAAATATTAAATGATTAGAGATAGAAAAGTCGAAGAAACAAAACAAAAAACAGTCATATTAAGAAATCAATTTTCATTGCAAAAAAAGGAACCATTATTATCGTGACTACTCTCCTACATCCACTTACACTATGCACACAATCATGCACGCATGTACGCACACACACACATATGAACACATATACATTCATGTGATTATGATGAAATTATAAAAATAGACAATTTATTAGTATGATAGATAATATTTGTTATGTAATCAATGTAACACTATTTCAATGAAATGAAAGTATAGATATGTAAATAATAAAATTACAACTATTCATAAATTCCACATGCCAAGTGAATAGAAACGTTTATTATGTTCAGCAATGTACACCCACGACGATAGCACTGGAGATCGAACTCATGGCTTTGAGTCTCGTATTCACGAACTCTTAACTTCTAGACTATCAAGTTGTTATGCATTAGTATATATGTCTAAATGCAATCAATCTATGGTATTGCGCGGCCATATTTACCTTCGGGACACCTGACACAGTCCAGTGTTTTTGAATTTTCAATAGTTATGTAACTTGGATTTGTTCGTGATCTTTGTAAACATTCACTAATCTTTACAACTGTCATACTAAATAGTTAACATTCAGTATGCACCAATTTGTTTTGTTGCTTATTTAATGTTTTCATACTGATATGAAGAGTAGAACTGAGTGCAGGTTGACATTTGCTTGCTTTCTGACTATCATTTTCATGAGTCGATCATCATCTTAGTAGATAAAGGCTTATAATCTTATTAACGTACATGTTATCCTTACTTAATACCTTGATTTTAATCTAGGCACTACTTATTGAATGATCACAACATACTCGATTGATGCTTTGAAGTGAATTGTTATTAAATATTGGTAAACTACAAATATCATCTATCGTTAAAAGCCACGTTTTACAGCCATGAATTCATACTGAGTAGATATCTACACAGTGTACTCACCTGTTCGTGAGAAGACAGAATTATTTTAAACCTTTTTTTCTTTTGTTTGGTTTCTTCTTCTAGATACATAATGTCTATATCCAATCTTTTTTACTGTTACTGATACTACTACTACTAATGCTACTATTCAGACTGCTTCTGTATTTATCTTCACAGTTTTATCTCTCTGTATCGATGGAGTATAGTATTTGCTTCACGAATAATTTAATTGATTTTTTGTATAAAATGCTTTGACACATATATGTTTGACCAGATTGTTCAAAATGTACAGCGCAAAATACATCACATTAAATCGAGCTTTTTGTATCCGTGCTTAGATTTCGTCATACACCAGATCACAAAGTTGATAAGACTCCCCAGATATGTTTAACAATCTGTGTGATAATGAAATTTCAGAAAATTAGATAGCTCAGTGGCAACATCTCTGACTGTGAAGCTTGGTGAAACGGGATCGAATCCTTCAGGTAGAACCATTTCCATCAAGATTACAGGTACAACTTGCTGACGAGTGCCAAATAGCACGAAACTCGGGTCTGGGGTTTCCTATAGACTGCCTCCAACCACCGCCTTATTTCAACAATACTTTATGAATAAAAGAGGCTTCCATATACACAGATATAAAGCAACCGTCAAATATCAAATTAATTTAATAGAAGTACCTGAATATACTTACAATATCTTCTATGTTCAATCCATCAAATATCTGAATACTACTTAATAAAGTATGATTTTTATCAAAGATTTCATCTCAAGAATCAGTAACTATTGTTAAGGACAGCGTTCGAAGCAAACGTTACTGGGTTCGAGTCGCGGAGAGAACATCAACTCTGAAATGCAGGTACATTTAGTTGACGAGTCCCAAATAGGACGAAACATGCGTCCTAATTTTCACTGCTAGCCGTTATTCATCTAATTAGAGAATTTTTATAATGTAATATTAAATAACTTTATACTACATAAGAAATAATATTTTACTGACTTGTTATAGATTTACATTTTTGTACATTCTATACAATTTAGATATGATAAGTTCACGTTCAAAAGGTAGAAATAGTCATGTTGGATCAGGTAAACGAACTATTCGTTTTAAACAAGATGGAAATTTAGAAGAAAATGAGGTAAACGATGATAATTATAATTTTAATGTTTAAATAAAATTCAAATTTTATAGATTTATGTCATTATCACTAATACTTCTGTAATTGATAGAGTTTAGTGACGTTGGGATCAAGACAAATATCATTAATATCAGAAGGATTTTTGTGGATATTATAGTAATTTCAATAGTTGAGATCATGAGGAGTCCGAGAGTAGGACGAAATGGTCGTTCAGTGCTTACAGGTTTTCCATAGTGATCTAGCTTCAATTGACTTATGAACTCAACTATTGAGATATCATTAATTTCAATGGATGTTGATCGTGCTGTAGGGCCAGTGAGCCGTAGCCAAATCCCCCGGCAGTTGGGTCACTGAATATCGATGCGAATCAGTTAATCATATACCATGGGCTGGCCAATGAGGTGGTTGTCTCAGTAACTCGAGAAGGTCTCCAATCATTCGACATAGATCATCAATCTTGATGATCTACAATACAATACAACTAGTTCAACATAGGATTACTGTTTTCATACAAACATGATGAATAGCTAAAAAGATGATTTACCAAATTGATTAAAACTGTTCTACTGTGTGCTGATATCACTTTATTTTGTTCCCCATATCTATATATACTTCAAATGTAAACATTTTAATTGTAAAGCTCATCAATTCTAAAATCTTCACTTATTATTGACAAAGTTTCATTTGACTATTATTTACTATTATCAAAGAGTCAACAGACAATTTAAAACTATACAGAAAGTATAACGTGTTTTGTTTCCTAATCGTTCATTCCTCAGTAGCATTCACTTATAAACCACAAACTGAACTGACATTAGTATCATCAAGTACGTTAGCAAGTGGAATGATTTAAATGCCATTTCATTTTTAATGGGTTGGTTTATTTCATTACTGATATTGTGACATGACTTTGATATTATGACATACGTTTACACAAAATAGATGTAAGTTAGGTAGCAATGGAATTTAGAACATTCATTCTATCACAATTCAAATTTGTCAATTAGACATACTCTCACTGTAATTTATTTTATTTTATTTCATTTAAACAAACAAACACTGGTACAAGGAGGCACAAAATACATGTGCGCCACAAAAATCTCATTCGTTTTGTATGAGGGCTGTGATACTACCCGGGTGCACACTTAGGGAGTCACACCCCGAGCCTTTGACATTAAGGTCTGACCCACAAGGCAGTGGATCATCGTGAGGAGATGAAATCCCATGGTAGTCGGTGACCGACGATTGGTTCATACGCCATTTGTTCCCGCAGGATACTGGAGCCCATGTGCAACATTGGTTTGGAATCCGGTTAAAGCGTCGGACATTCGCTTTTTGTCCTCTCAATTTCGTAAGCAACAACCCCGCCACGAGAAGTCAGTGAGTAGGACTTCCCTGGCAGAGGCTATATACGCGTGGCCTTGCGAGAGCATTTTGAGAAGGAGGGCGGGCCCACTCCACTCTCGGCCATAACAGGGCATTTGGGGGCACCCTTACTGTAAACTTAATATCCACTTCCATATTCGAGCCCGGCACATTTACCTTAGTTTAAATGCATCAATGTTTATAGCTCAAATTTTAGCTGATTAGACTTATATACAATTCCATTATCAATCATATTTCACTTATTTAATGTAAACTTAGAGACTATATATTTTCACACTTTAATTCTATTCATGAAAAGACTCTTTTTTTGTTTCTTTTATATCACATCAAAGTACATTACAAAAACAAGCAATCAATGTCTTATACTGTCGACTGAAATTGAATTTTCATTCCATGTAATAATCACAAATTGTACTTGATGTAGAACATTTCAACTGATGTAGTTTTCATGTGTATCTATGCATGTGTATGTGTGTGTGTGATTGGTATTAATTTCAACTTTTATTTAGGCTGTAATTTGAGTGATTGTACTTTTTGTGTATTTTGTTGCATTTGAATACAACACTAAAGAACAGATTTATAATTAGAATAATCAATGTATCAGTATTAAGTTGATATGTTTCTAAGGTAGATGTTTGTTTGTTTTTATCCACTAATTCCGAAGAATCAAACATCTATTTCAACCTTTCTTTCTATAATTCTAGAAGAAAAAGCATTAAGTTAGCATTTATAGAATTAATATGATAACCAGAAAACCCTTCTCTGATAATTATAATAACAATCATGATATGCTCACTAGTGACGGTCTCCAAGAGATATTTTTTGAAGTTCTAGTGAGAAGCAGTGATCAGTGAAGTTCGACCGGGTCTGTTGTGTGATAGTAACTCACTAAAGACAGTGGTGGATGTGTCAATCAATTTCATGGATTATTTGAAGTTAAACATTCACATCGTTGCATGTCGGCCACCTCAGTGGTGTAAAGACTAGACGTTTGCGCGGGTTCGAATCTCGCAAGGCAGGATCGTGGATGCACACTGCTGAGGAGTACCACAATAGGACGAAACGGTCGCCCAGTGCTTTCAGGTTTTCCATGGTGGTCTAGCTTCAATTGACTCATGATCTTAACCATTGAAATTACTATAATATCCACAAAAAACCCATATGATTACTTGATTAGTCAAACGCATAAACCCTCTCAAGTTGCAAATGAGAAAATAGAAGACAAGTGAATGGAATGCTATTCTGAAATGATGTCAGTTATTGTACAAAACTATTAGGTATTTATAGAGTTCACTAATCGGGATGCAAGAGGTTATTATCATTTGTTCAATAGGGAAGCTGAACTTAGGGATTCTGGAATATTCTTCCAAAAGAGGATTGAATGGAATATCTTCAACTTTTTCTAAGCTTGTTAAAGCTTCACAGAATTCATGCATAGACTATCCTTACAATTTTGATCTTACATTAATATTTTAACTAATGTAATAAAAAATTTAGCTTTCCTTTCATTTTGAATTAGACCGATACATAATTCAGACAATTAAATTGAATGATTTATAATACATTATTCTATTGACTAATCGTAATGAAGTATTCACTTATTTTCCTGCTAGATCTTCTTCATTAGGAATTGAATTCGAATAATATTTTCCAGAGTTCTAGTGAGAATCATTAACTATTACAGTTCAATAATGTCTAGTGTAAGGCACTTGTTTATTGAATTTAGTAGAAGATGATTGGATATGAAAATAATTGGATACCGACTAAATAGCCTAAACGTTAGTCACTCTTTGCTTGTCCTGAACCTTCTAAGTTAGAATTCCGATTAGGTAATGGATGCACACTATTGATGAGTCTCACACTGGGATAAAACATCTGTATAGTGCTTTTGATATCACATACCTACCTAATTTAGGTTAGCCATGATAGATAGTGGCTAGCAGTGAAATCCAGGACGCGCGTTTCGTCCTATTTGGGACTCGTCAGCTGGATGTACCTGCATCTGATCAATTGCAGTCTTAAACCTCAATGGGAAGATACAAACCAAACAATACCAAGTGAATCTAATTTAGGTTAGTCTATATTATCATTTAAGCAAACCCCTATCATGAAAGGCATATTATTTGTCACCACAACTCAAATATCTTTCTGTCAGTTAGCTACAACAAACATAGAATTAAGAATAGATTCTCAATCTTACTAGAAGAAAATGTTCGGATTAATATTAAATATTATTTTAATTTAACACCTTATGTTGTACACTCTTGAAATCTAATAAATCTTTTCACAGTATTATCTGACACACAATCTAAGAAGCTGCATGGAATACTGTAAAATCAGTAAACATGAAAACATCCTTTAACTGAAGTGTCTGTTATTTGAGATAAACTTGTGGAGTCAACTTGACTGTCCATTCCACTCATGAAAAAAAATCCGCTTTTAAATGACTATAAGTCTTTAAATAAACTATCAGTCTTTTCGAACTTTAGGGCTATAAAAGATAGAATCGGTTCATATAGTGTATAACAAAACGGTATTTATTCATATATTTTAACTACATTATCGATTATTTTACCTATGATGTTTCATTAGCTGATATTTTCAATATACTTAAATGTATACTGGTGAGAAGTGAAGTGTTGAAATGAAATAGCTTTCTACTGTTCCCTAGTTTTCATAGATTGTTTAACTGAAAACTTTTGAAATGAATTTTTCCTTTGAAAAATGAGTCAACTAAAGCTACTCTACCATAGGAAACCTAGAAACACTGGACGTCCGTTTTGTCCTATTGTGGGACTTCTTAGTAGTGCACATCCATGACCCCGTTTTACGAGATTCAAACCCAAGTCCTACTGGTTTCGCGCTCGAGCACTTAACCATTAGACCACTGAGCTAGCATCCAACGGTGTGCTTCCAGGTTTTCCATAGTGGTCTAGCTTCAACTAACTCATGATCTTAATCAATTTATACTCGGCATATTTTAAGAATTTAAACTGTAGACATAATAACAATTCACTTGATTATAGTATTTACCATATAAAGTAATTCTAGAGTAATGAATTACTATCTGTATGACGTAATACATGTATCACATGTTAATATGATTTTTCTCTTTTTTTTTTACCTTTTTTTAATTACAAAAGTCATTTAAATCAATTCATCATATTGTTGTTTTTTGTTCTCCAAAAACAGTTTGCCAAACTATTTTTTTCACTTAAAATATTTCACTGTTGCCATGGTAACAGTAACTATTAATCAATAAGTGATTGTATAAAAATGATGATATAATCATTTATTTTTTATTGGTTTTATGAATCTTCTTATTGACATTTAGAATTGTAGTTAATCAGTTTTTTTATAGATATATGTGTATGTTGTGTAAATTGTCTTGATATTGATTTACGTCATCATTATTATAAGTAAAGATAGATGGTGTTTAGCAATGGAATTTAGGATGTGCATTTCGTTTTATTTGAGACTCATCCGTTGAATGTACTTTTATGCCAAAGTTGATGTTTGTTTCGCGATGTGAACCTAGTAACGTTCGGTTCAAACCCTTTCCTCGATATCTATTACTTACTTACTTATGCCTGTTACTCTTAATTGAGCATAGGCTGACAATCAGCATCTCCAATCCACTCTATCCTGGGCCTTTCCTTCTAGTTCTATCCAACTGTTGTTCAGTCTTCTCATGTCTGTTTCCATCTCTCGACGTAATGTGTTTTTTAGTCTTCCTCTTACTCCTTGGAGACTTTAAGTGAGAGCTTGCTTTATGACGCAGTTGGGTGGTTTTCTCAATGTGTGTTCTATCCACTTTAAGTGTTTCTTCAAAATCTTTTTCCTCCGCTGGGATCTGGTTTGTTCTCTCCCACAGAAGGTTGTTGTTGATAGTTTCTGGCCAATGGATCCGAAGTATTTTGCGAAGAAAACTGTTAATATACTGCTAGAGTTGAAGCTATCACGAGTTCACTTAATCTGCGAACGAGAAACACGACTCGGTAACCAAAGATCAGTAAGCTAGCTATTGATGCGTCTCAGCCCCGCTAACTACAGGGAAAAGTCCAAGCTTGGAATGGAGAAGTATATTCTGCAAACAGCCAGAAACGAGCGATACCAACAAACACAATTCAAAACCGTCCTTAAGGAAAGTTACCAAATAGCATACTAAAAGACGCAACGGACCAATAGGATTTAAGATATTTCGCAGTGCGAAATACGACATGAAGGTGACAAGAGCGCCTTTGGCGCGAAAACAAAGAAATTCAAATTTTCTAAATAAAATTACAAAATTAAGTCCTTTCCCAAGTGAGTTCTGGGGATCTAACGTTTCCAACATAAACAATTATATCTTCTGGATGACGGATTTTGTAGTTCTCCAAGTTTCAATCCCATACAGTAGAACTGTCTTGACATTTGAATTAAAAATTCTGACTTTGGTGTTGGTTGACAGTTGTTTTGAGCTCCAGATGTTCTTCAGTTCAAGATATCCTGCTCTTGCCTTGCCGATTCGCGCCTCCACATCTAATGGAATATTCAACTAATCAATACAAAATGAATTAAAAATTCACTCCATTGCACATGCTATTGGCTATCTGGCCTCAGTAGCTTATTGGATAACATGATGGCATTTAAAGCAAGCGGTACTATGTTTTAGTCGAGGATTGAACATCAACGCTAGAATCCAGGTACATTCAGCTGATGGGTCTCGGGTTGGACGAAATGCGCGTTCTAGATTCCACTGCTAGCCCTTATCCATCTCTGATTTTACTTGTAAAATCAAGCTGGAAAAACGAACTAGGTGTAAATGTTTGATGTCTTCATTATTTCAATTTTCTTATCTCTAACAATTGATTGTACTCTGAGTAGTGACTAATATCACATATGTCTCGTCCTTCATAGTTGGTTGCAATGCGACTACTGTTCTTTAATAAACTGAATCCGGAACCCGAGTCGTACAACTTTACATTTTGAGACGTAACCATTGAGCTATTTGTATTGTGTTAGACCTATAGGATCAAGAGATTTACATTTAAATGATCATTAAGTAGTGACCTATCTCATGTCTGACTAGTCCTCCTTGGTTTAACCAATTCGCATAAGAAACTAACTCGGTCTCATTAACTGAACTTATTACACTTTATACATTAAGAATGCCTTAAGCGTTTGACTAGACAGAGTGAATATTATGACAGCAGTCAATTGACTGGTTAATTTATCTTCAGATTGTACAGACTACCAACAGAAAATGATCAGAGTTAAAGAATAAGAAACAATATTACTGAAACACTATGACAACTCATATATCTCTGTCATCCTAATATATTCCGACTTATATTACATTAGATTCTTAATAATAGGCTACAATAATCATGATTATTCTATCTAAAAAGTTTGTGTATGTTGGATAGGCTTTGTCTAACATGAATAATGAGTTTCTGAATTCATATTATGTCTTGTTATTTTACAGCCTACTTTTATGTTAGACAGAGAGTGTACACACTTACGCCATTATGATCGATTCTGAGCTATGTCACACACAGTCTCCAACCAAGTAGTCTACATCTACCAACATGACTAAGACTAGAAGTTAGTGACTTCAAGCACTAATACCACGTTTTGGTTTGGCTAACCCTAACTTTCTTCCAACCATTCCCAACGCGCGTCGTGGTCATCAGTGTTCAGGCACACGTAACACGTGGCCCAACCATCTCAGTCGATGAAGATTCATAACCTCATCAACTGACTGACCATCATTCCCTAATACCCTGCATCTAACCCCACTATTACTTGCCAGGTCATCCTAGCAATATTTCTAAGGCATCCATGGTCAAATATTAGTAGCTTACGAGTATCTTCAACTCTTAATGGCCACGTTTCGCAACCGTAAATTAAAACAGAACGAACTGCCGCACAGTATAGTTTCATCAACCAATTCACTAACTATATTTCTGAACTGTGAGTTTATCCCCGCAATTCCAACCATACATGTAAAATATATTAGAAATACCACTGTAATATATAGATGTATCCCTATCTTCTGCCTACAAATATTATGTTAAACAACAGTTAAACCATATAATAAAAATAATTGTTCAGTGTACTCACCCTTTGATAAACAATATGGAACTCTAAACAGTATCAGTGATAGAGTGACTGAATAAAGGTTAAATGTGTCATTTTCCTTATCAGTTCAATATTTAGACTTGAAACAACTTCTAATATAATGTATAATGATTAACATTTATTTATTCATATGTTGCTCAATGCTTAATTCGTTATGTTGATTTGATTCTTTGACATATTTTTTAATTGGTAACTCTGTATCGTTATATCCTTTATTGAATGGTTCCAATAGAAAATTAAGCGAGACTATAATTTATGAATGAATCAATCACGTATAGGATAACAGGTCTTGGAGTTTGGCGCGGAATTCATTCATTCAATCAGATAAATAGAGTTTTTGGCATTATAGCTGATGTCAGTTCGTGATCAAAACCGTAAATCTAATTTCTGTGAGACTATAATTTATGGACGACCTTTGAATGACGTTAAAGTGACGTTGAGAATGTCCACCTACTTACTAGAACTAAATGAAGTTTATAAACTTGTGTGAATAACAGGGACTATGATTAGGATTAGGCATCCGATTCATGATTTACATCACGAATTAATATTAGCTATAATGCCAAGATTCTATTTAGACAAATGGGTGAATGAATTTCGCGTCAAAATCTAAGACCTGAAAGATAAAGGAAGGTTATGCAAGTGGATGATGTCATTATCTAAAAAGTTGAATAACTTTATTGAAATTATTATGTCACTCATTATTTGATGAGTTATTTTCTTTATATATGTATAGATTGTAGATGTTGAAATTGAAGGAATTCAAAGAATTAATGAAATACTTGGTGATAGTCTTGGTTTTGAAGATAATGAGCTTGGTAAGTGAAATGTGTAATTCATTTATTATTTTTAAAGAAACTAGTTGTCTTTAATAATAATTAAAGATGATAGTTTATGACCGCATCACATCTCAGATCACTTATAACATATCTAATATCATATTTACAGAACCCAAGCACCTCAATAGCATTATCTAGCACAGAGAATGAGACTATACTAAATACGTAATTCTGAGCTACAAATGTTCATCGTTGTTTCAAAATCTAAATCACACTCGTAATGAACGATTCAATACTTTTATTAGCGTGTTCTGAACATAGGATAGTTCCAGCTGTTCTCCTTAGTGGAGGAACATTGGTTGCCCACTAGCATTCTCCATTGAACTCTGTCATGGACAATCCTTTCCAGCTCTTTTCAGTTGTTATTCATATCTGATTTTGTTTCCTGACGTTATGTGTTGTTTGGCCTTTCTCTCTTCCGCTTCCCTTCAGGATTGCAAGTTAGAGCTTGCTTTGTGATGCAGTTTGGTGATTTCCGTAATATATGTCCTATCCATTTCTTAATTTCCTCTTCAGCTAGAAGCTGGTTGTTACTAATGATATCCGACCAACGGATGTTGTGTATCTTGCGTAGACAACTATTTATAAATACTTGCAACTTCTTGATGATGATTGTAGTAGTTCTTCAAGTTTCGGCTCCGATTTTGACTTTCATATTAGTTGACAGAAAATTGTTTTGATTTCTATAAATATACATTGTTAGTTGGTTGCTAACTACAAATAAAACTAGTGTTAAACATTTTTTAAAAAAATTATTGATTCCTGTCAAGTACACAGATCAGGAAAAACAAATACAAACAACCATAAAACTTCACATCAACATATTTCTCACATATTCAATCATCAAACTCCGTATGCTATCGGTTATTAATCTTAGTTACATACCTAACTTCATTACTGATATACATATATATATATCAGTCATTGTCAAATCAAATCATTGATTGTTCACTACACTACTATTTTTTCCTTTACACAATAAAAATTGTAACCTCCTTTGTTTGATCACTGGAATTCATCATGAACAACATAAGTGTAGTACATAAATAATTAAAAAAAAAGCACTTGAAAGAAAGACAAAAAAACACGAGAAAGAAAAAGAGTGAAAAGAAGAGTAATGAAGTCGTTAATCGTTTATTTTCTTCTACATAACAACAACAACAACAACAATCATAATCATAAAATGGATTAGTTTAATGAAATTAATGTGATGCATCATTATATAATATAATAAGTAATACGTAATAAAATGTATCCAACATAGGAAATTGACAGAGAGTATTTATATTCATAAGAATAAATAAATACTAAATTCATTCTTTATTTATATTAATAAAACTATTGGTATGTGATCAATTTAAATGAAGAAAATTTCATAATAGATTCTAATCAACTAAGTAAATATTCTATGATATAATAGTTGAGATTATAAGTGAATTGAAATTAGATCATCATGAAAAATCTGGAAACATTCAATGATCGTTTCATCCTATTGTGGGACTCTTCAGAAGTGAGCATACATGATCATGCCTCAAAAGATTTAAACTCAGGATCTATCAATTTCGTACACGAGCGCTTAACCTCTAGATCAGTGAGCTGGTCAGCATACAACTGTGTTCATGTCTAACATCAACTAATCCATCAAATTGAACGATACATTCACTATTTTCTTTAGTGAGTTACTATTTCATAACAGACCAGTTGAACTTCACTGGTTACTACTTCTCACTAGAACTCCAGGAAATACTTCTTAAAGCTAGTTACTAATGAGCATATGTTGATTTATATCAGAAAGGTTAATAGTAATATAGTAAATACGAAAGTGTAAAGAAAATGTTTTGAATGAAGTGCATAGTAGGAGAATATCATCTTGTCAATTGAGATAGCAATGATAATAATATTGTTGTGTGAATATAATATGTAGTAAGGGGGATATTACGGTAATTACGATAAAAGAATCAGGAATGATGAATGTGAAGATTAAGATAGAGGTAATCAATTAAGAAGGGGGCAAGATATTTATAATATTCAGTTTAGGTATTCGGTGATCCAGTAAATGTAGAGGCTGGATACACCTTTTCTGGATACATAAGTTTGGTTTTCTGGAGTTGATCTAGATGACTTAGGCTATGTAGAGTAACCGTGATGTAGATCCTTGATGTAGATATTTTGGAACTTGATATAAAACAGAGAAAGCTTCCTCTATTTTGATATGATGTTCATTATCTACCAAGTGAGAAAGGATAGTGCTGTTGATGGATTTAGTGACTTCTTTGCCTAACGATGCTGGTACATATTCACGAACACGCAAAAATAAAGCCCACTGAGTATGGTATATGAAATTAGCTCCACCGGAGCAGTTGAATTGGTATACACACATAGTATATTGACTGATAGACATCGTGAGGATATTCGCAAACCGAAATTGAATGAACACATTCCTATCACTAAACATAATAATGGATCAGGCATCGTTATTCTAAACAAGATAGACTACATAGATAAAATGAATTCCCTACTGAGTGATCAAAGTAAATTCCAAAAGCTTGGGTCATATAAAGACCTCAATGAAAAGACCAAACGTCAACGAACTGCAGCATTAGAAATCTTTAAAACAACATCAATACGTCTCTGAGCATACTTATGATGGGCTCAAGCCTTCTAGAACACATACCTCTCGACTATATGGCGCACTTGTGCGAGACACATAAGCTAAGGGTTCTAGTCCCATTGGGCGAGATCGTGGGTGTGCACTGATGACGAGTCCCATAGTAGAACAAAATAACCATCAAGTGCTTCCCAGATTTTTCTTGATGGTCTAACTTCAATTGACTCATCAATTCAACTATTAAAAATAACTACAAAATATGTATTACATTGAGTCTGAAATTTGAACTTTGTAATATAATATATTCTCAAAGGAGTTTTGTAAAGATTTTAGTAATTCCAGTAGTTGAATTCATAAGTCAATTAAAGCTAGACTACCATGGAAAACCTGAAAACATTAAACAAACATTTTGTCTTAATATCGGACACCTTAACGGTACACACCTACGATCCCACTCCATGAGATTCATGAATTCAAACTTTTCAATATAACAGATTGAAATCATGAGTCAATGGAAGCTAGACCACCATTCAAAACCTTGAAGCATTGGACGGCCGTTTCGTCCTAGTAAGGGATTCCTCAGCAGTGCGCATCCATGGTCTCTCACCCTGCAAAATTCAAACTTAGGACCTATCAGTCTCGTGCCAGGTGCTTCACCAACTAGACCACTGAGCCAGCATCCAATTGTGATAATGTTTAACTTCAACCATTCCACGAAGTTGTGCCACCATAAACCATTGTCTTCAGTGAATTGATATCTTACAACAGACCTGGTTAAACTTCAATATCATATAATTTTCAAAAGATCCTTTTCATGTTTAATCTCATGTTTATTGTTATTAATTCTTTTATTTTGTTTTTGTTTGTTTGTTTTGTTTTTGTTTGTTTGTTTTGTTTTTGTTTTTGTTTTCTTTTTTCTTTTTTTTCTTTCGATAATTAGCATTCTATCTATATAAATTAGCTAAATCATCATTAAATCCAAATGATTTAGAACAACATATGAATAGAAATAATAAATTATTTGAATTTATATTACCTAAAACATTAATTCATTTATTATGGAAAACAGCTCATTTCAATGAATCTAATTCAATGAATCGTATAATTCATACTAAATATAATGATTATTATCACTGAAAGTTTTATAATTTAATGAAATGAATGAATATCATATTATATATGATAGTGATTCTATCATTGTTGGTTCATGAATAAATATACAATTTCATGTATGTGATTATATAGAATAGGTGAAACAGAATTTTCACTACCGGTGAAAAGAAGACATTACTATCTCTCTCACTTACTCCCTCTCTCGCTCCCGTTATCCTTCCCCTATTCTTCTACATGCTCTCTATTTCTCTATCGCCTGTCTAACCGTTCCGCATTACTATCTCTTACTTACTCACTCATTCACTCACTCTCTCTCTCTCTCTCTCTCTCGTTATCCTTCTTCTATTCTTCTGCTTACGCTCTATTTCTCTATCGCCTGTCTACCCGTTCCGCATTACTATCTCTCATTCTATATATATATATCTCTATCTCTTTATCCTTCCCCTATTCTTCTGCATGCGCTATTATTCTCTATCCCTCGTATTTACTTCTGGGCGCTCTCTTTCTCACTCTCTCTATATCCCTCTCTTTTTCTTTCTATGTTACTTGTAATTATAAGTATGGAAGATAGTTTAATTGAAAATGCTTTATTGAACAATGTATAATTTTTAACGCTTTAAATATGAATATATATTGAATGAAATTATTTTAATGCATAATTTATCTGATTATTGTGTGTACATTTTATTTATATATGAATAATAATATTTATTCATTTAAATAAGTTGATAATGGATATCATACAGACCATCAAACAATTTGGGTATGCTTTTAGTGAAGTCAGATTACTGTATAAAATTAATATATCTGAATTCGAGAGGTATTTCCTGAAGTTCTAGTGAGAAATAGTGATAAGTGGAGTTCAGTCGGGTCTGTTGTGAGATAGTAGCTCATTGAAGACAATGGAGGGTGTGTCACTCAATTTCGTGGATTAGTTGAACTTAGATATTAACACCTTTGGATGCGGACCGGCTCAGTGGTGTAAACGTTAAGCGTCCGAGCGCTGGACCGAAGGTCTTGGGTTCGAATCGTATTTGTAGGATCGTAAATGCGTACTGCTGAGGAGTCCCATACTAGAGCGAAACAACCGTCTACTTCTTCCAGGTTCACAATGGTAGTCTAGTTTACATTGACTCGCCAATTCAACTACTAAAATTACTAAAATCTCTACAAAATCCTTTCTGATACTAATAAATTTAGTGATTAATCCTAACAGTTAGCTTGCAACGGTTTGATTTATAACTTGTATTTAACACAG